GTGTGGAAGGGCAGTCTGGACATCCACTTGGCCAAACATGCCGACGAGAAACCCTACATGTGTGGGGAGTGTGGCTTCAGAACTGTGTATAAAGTCAGCCTGGCTAAGGTGATTTTAATGATGTCCTACAATATTTCTCTTTTTAAGGCATCATGTGTGTTGTTACTACATGTAATTCAATTTATGTTCACTGTAGCAAAATTTCACAGTGTCAGAAAAGTGGACATGTTCACGGAACTTAAGTTCTATACATGTATATATTCACGGTGGTGACAGGTGCAGGAAAAAGAAAGTCCAGAAGTGACAGTGAAAACAGTGAATATAAAAGTACATGTACTGTGAAAAAATCAGAAATTACAGTATTGTGCTATAGTTCATCAAATAGTACGTAATTCTAGGTTCATAATTCAGCCTATGGCTCCAATGTACTAGTACTTTTTTTAATAAACCATTCATTCCTTCCTTCCAGCACATGTCCACCCACACCCGGGACTACCCTCACAAGTGCACGTTGTGCAGCTACTCTTCGGTCCAGAAGAAAAACCTGGAGATCCACATGGCGAAACACATGGGCATCCCGATGGAGAAACGCTACGTTTGCAAGGACTGTGGTTTCCGTACCGCGTACCACTCTGGTCTCGCCAGGCATCTGAAGAGACACAAGGGGCTGAAGCCCTTCAAATGTAGCCAGTGTGACTTTGGTGCGATCGACCAGAAAACTCTGGACAGTCACGTGGCCAAGCACAAGGGAAAGGAGCCTTTTGTGTGCAACAAGTGTGGGTTTAGAACCATCAGCCGGTCTCACCTGTCTAAACATTATGTAACACATGCACCTGAAAATCCTGATCTGTAAAACATTATGTAACACACGCACCTGAAAATCCTGATGGTTGAAGCATAATACACAACACACAAACCTAAAAATTCAGAGTAAAGCATTACACAACTGCACCTGAATTTTTGGTTGAAAACCCAGAGTAAAAAACATAACACAATGCATGCACCTGAAAACCCACACTAAAACATTACAGAAAAAGTTTATGCAAAATCCTACCAGTCAGGTCTCTCAAGGCATCTAAAGAGACACAAGGGGCTCAAACCCTTCAAATGCACGCAGTGTGACTTTGGTGCGATCGACCAGAAAACTCTGGACAGTCACGTGGCCAAGCACAAGGGGAAGGAGCCTTTCGTGTGCAACAAGTGCGGGTTTAGAACCATCAGCAGGTCACATTTGTCTAAACATTATGTAACACACGCACCTGAAAATCCAGATCAGTAAAACATTACACAACACATGCACCTGAAAATCCAGACGGTTGAAGCATTACACAACACATGCACCTGAATTTTTGGGTGAAAACCCAGAGTAAAACATAACACAATACATGCACCTGAAAACCCACACTAAAACATTACAGAAAAAGTTTACTGAAAATCCAGATCAGTAAAACATTATGTAACACATGCACCTGAAAGTCCAGACATTTGAAACATTACACAACACACCTGCACCTGAAATTTTGACTGAAAACCGAGAGTAAAATACACAATGTATGCACCTGAAAATCCAGACAGTTGAAGCATTACACAACACATGCACCTGAATTTTGGGCGGAAAACCCAGAGTAAAGCATTACACAGAGAAAGTTGCAAGTTCTTTCCCATAGGCTACCTACACCAAGTAACATCTGTGTCCATAATATCACCAGGGTCCATGATATCGCCACCTTGAGAAATAGTGTGCTTAAAGATATTTTTACTGCAACATACTTTTGGTATGCACTCCTGCACACATCAAATGTACATACCTAGGGTATGTTGCAGTAAAAATATCTTAAAGCACACTGTTTCTCAAGGTGGCGATATTATGGACCCTGGTGGTATTATGGACACAGATGTTACATGTAGCATGAAAAGATAAAGGATGGACATTGGACAACAGGTAACAATACGGTATGTGACTACTAAGTACTCTAACTAAATTCTAACTTATTGTACAACACATGCAAACAACAGCCCACAGTAGAGTAAGCTGTCTGACTATAAATTATAATATTGTAATAATAATCATAATATAATTATAAATATTGTACAGTCCTGAAGTACTAATGTAGTCAATCAATGCATAGGTCCTTACGAAGATCTTCTAACCACTGTAAAAAAATGGAAACAGAATATGATTAGAAGGAGTATGACAACTGAAATATGCTCGAAGAAACAAATACAGTATATTGCCTTTATGTAGGCCTCGAAAAATATGTATATGCAAGCTATGTTGGTGGGCACAGAATAGTGGTATATACATAATGTTATACTCACTGAATGTTTTGTTTTTGTAAATAAACGTGTACTAAATGAATCATGTACTACAGTAATCCCCAGTATAGCACTATTGCAAAATGTTCAATACAATTCTGATGAAATATTAAAAGAAACTCTATCGCATGTGTGTTGTGTTGTTATGATTCTCAGTCTACATGTAACATCCGTGTCCATAATGTCGCCACCTTGAGAAACAGTGTGCTTAAAGATATTTTTACTGCAACATACCCTAGGTATGTACATTTGAGGTGTGCAGGAGTGCATACCAAAAGTTTTCAACCATACTGTAAATCGTACAAAACAGTTGCAAAATGAGCAAATATATACCGTAAGTTGCAAAAAGAATATTAAAAAATGATACCAATGTCGCAAAATGCCAAAATCAAACAAAAAAGACGAAATTGTAAAGAGAAATGAATTTAAAGAGTAGATTATTCACCAAACCATACACTGTGTCATTTTTTCGACCACGCAGATTTCATAATGAAAGCAACTTTTTTTTTTGCAAAACTTTTTTTTTATTCGCACGCGCGCATCAGTTTTGGGGTTCCCAGAGGATGTCATCCATATAATAAAATCAACATGGCCTAAGTCAAAACCCAAACCTCTGCTTGGAGAGTAAACAAATTCAGCCATTGATTGTTGTTGTTCGAACATCTCCGCCAGGGGGCGCATTGTCAGCTTAATCCAAGATGGCGGCCCTCACATATAAAAAGCAGTGTCAGCGATACAGAAACTATTTGGTAGTTTTCCTGGTGTTGTTTACGGCGAAAGGTAAGTTCTGCCGCCGGGGAAGGTTACGTGTATACAGGAGAAGCTACGGCATTCTTTGTTCAGGAAACACGACGTAAAGTCCTGCTAAAAACGCGTTTTCGTGGGGTGGGAGGGGGGGGGGCGTTACTTCTGTTTTTTTAATGCCCTTTTACCTTTTTTATGCCCTTTTGGCAGACGACAAGGCACTAAGAGTTATGTGCTTGTACCTAGAGAGACAAGTTGACTCTGAACTGAACCAAACTATATTGAATATTAAAAAAATTCTTGCACCACTCAGAATTTTTGGACATGAGTGAGTGAGTGAGTCACTCAGAAATATTATTTAGAAAGTATGGATCACACTAAAAAATTATGTTCAGAAACCATTGCCCTTATTAATGCCCCTATTGTCATAGCTGTAACAGCCAATACAGCTACTTAGTATGCAAAAAAAAATGTATCTCAAAGTTTATGTTATAAATATTTTCCATCCCTGTAGCTCAGCAGGTGTCAGGCGGTAACCAACACGAGTCGTTCTACAATGGGATGGAAGAACTCCAGTCTGACACAGACACCAGCAAACAGAGAGACAGTTCTGCAGATCTAGAAATCGACAGAACATCACTACACAGTTCTGCAGAACTAGACAGAACGCCGGCTTCTGGAGATGCAGAACCAAAGAGAACAGAAAACTCTGCACACACAGAAACAGACTCAAAGTACAACAGACAAGAAAGTTCTTCTCTCACAGAAGTGGACAAAACAGATAGTTCTTCAGTCGTAGAGTCAGAAAAACAGGACAGAACTGATACAGAATCGGACAGAACACTCGAGGGTTCTCTAGTAGCTACAGAATCTGACAGTGAAACAGGCTCTGCTGTAGAATCTGATACGACATTGCTGAAATCACAACATGAGGAATCAGACCTGACAGACAAAACGTCAGGATCTGCCACAGGTTTGGGCCCAGACGGGAAGCAGCTATCCTCCACACAGGTGGGATTGGAAGAAAAAACAGCTTCATCCGAGCAAGGGGGGGAATCGGACAAAACTTCGGAATCTCCGAATGCAGAGTCAGAACTAGGAACGGAAGCTTCGCTACCTACGAGTGTGGAGGAAAATCCGGATGGTGATCTGGGAAATGGCACCCTGGTTGCCCATGGCAACGCAACCCTGGTAACCGCCGGCAACACGACAGGTGATTTTGCCTTCATCTTAGTGGTTTTATGATATTATTAATCTCTGTTAACACTGATTTTTGAATGTTTTAACTGATGTATCCACTGTTGTGATAAGTTTTTGTGCTGTATTATAATATAAGGACAATGATGCAGACATATGTAGGATTTTATGCTAACTTTATCTATTTGTGTTTAGAGTTAGAACTTTAGATCCAACACAAGAAGTTTTCTCACCTACAGCTTTCGACCAGTCACTCTGGTCTTCCTCAGCAGACTGACCCAGTGAAGCTTGTCACATGGCTTCTTTATCTATTTGTAATAATGGGCGGCATGTTGTAAATACTCGACATGTGCACTTCACTGTGACATGCCAGTCCATTTTTAATATCTGACTCAGGTGAGAACAGCACAGGTGAGGCGTCAGACAGGGAGGATGATGGGAATGCCACAGGGTCGAAGGTCGGGCCGAAGAAGGTCAGCTGTGCGGCACGCGACCTTCCCAGTGGGGAGACCCCGTCTGTCAAGGTTGTAAACGGGACGGAACTCATTCACCAACTGAAGGTTTGTTTATGTTTTGTTTTCTTTAGCTGGGGTAGCCCTCTCAGTGATTAAACACTACTTTACAGCGGGCCCTGGACACAGAACACATTGAAAACTTACAAATAATGGAAGACAGTCCTTTTCTTCCAAATTGTTACAGTTTGTATCAATGTGGACAGGTGGTTTGATTAAAAGTTCAAAATTCATTGTTTAAAGGTACTAGCTTTAGTAACCCAGCCTGGTATGTTGACTTCATGGCTCCCATTGTAGCATTTGGGGTTATCATAAGATGCCTAGGCCTGTTTTTATTTTTTTGCCCTGTTCTGTTGCTTCATATTTTTTCTGAAAAAATCCGAGAACCGACAAATTAAATTGATGTGGCCTAAACATGATAGATGAAATCAAATCACAACCCAGGTGACGCAGACAGCTGCAGGAAACGTGACTGCGGAGGGAGACTGCGTGCTGGTGATGTTCTACGCGCCGTGGTGTCCGTTCTCTGCTGCGGCCGCGCCCGCGTACCATGCTGTGCCGCGGGCCTTCCCAGCGGTCACAGTGCTGGCCATAGACGCCGTCGCTAACAGCCAGTAAGTCGTGTTTTACTGCACTGTTCACCTCTACCAGGTTTCAGGATTTTCTAGAAAATTTCTACTCTTTCCAGCCGCCTCTGATCCCAAAGCCTGGTAGAGGCAAACAATTTACTGTATTGTTTGCCTCTACCAGGCTTCGGGAGGCGGCTGGAAAGAGTAGGAATTGGCCAAATAGAGAGATAACATTCCAGGGGAGTTGGTCTGCTGGAGAGTATATGTAGTTTGCCGTACTACTCTCCAGCGAACCAACTGCCTTGGCATGTTATCTCTCTATTTGGGTAATTACCTTTGCCAAGAAGATTATGTTTTCAGTAGCATTTGTCCATCTGTTTGTTTGTGAACAGCATAACTCAAGCTTTATATAAATAAGATAAAGAACAAAACAAACTGATGTGTCCCCATGGCAACCTTGTGTTGTTCCAGCCTGAACACGCGGTTCGGCACAGTTGCCGTCCCCAACATCATGCTGTTCTGTGCTTTTTGTGCATGAACCATCATGTCAACCAGTAAATATGGCAACACTGTTAAATCACTACTACATGTACTCTTCAAGCAGAGGTTGTGGGGGAATGATTGTTACCTTTTTATATGTGGCCGTTTTTTTTTGTCCTGACCTGTCAGTGGCTGCGGAGCTTCTCTGGCCAATGGATACTGCCTGGCCAATTTGATACTGTCTTTTTGCCACTGAGAGGGATCTGCTTGGAGATTAACTACATGTACTACTACTTCTTCCAGCCTGAACACGCGGTTCGGCACGGTTGCCGTCCCCAACATCATGCTGTTCTACAATGGCAAGGCCCTCTCCCGCTTCAACCAATCAGAGCGCAGCTTGGACCAGCTACGGATGTTCGTCAAGAACCACACAGGTGGGGGTGGTAATTAGTGGCAAAGTGTTCACACACTAGTATTACCTGTAATTATGTTTACCTTTGCGGAAGGAAAACACATTGTTTTTGCCCAGTTTCTCCTTCCGTTCCAAGCGCATAGGGGCAATGACCTGGACCAGGCATCTGTCACCATGGTAACTGGTGTTGGGTTACATTATGTTGCAATTTTATAGCAGGAGGGATTAAGACTCCTGTCAACATATATATGAATGTGTTTGAGCAAAAATTAACAGAGCAGACCATCTGTGAAGGTTCTAGTATGGAGCTGAAATTTTATTCTGGAACTATGTCTGAGGTTGCTAACCCTAACTTTTCCCCCAAGCCTTGAGAGAGACGCTTCAGTGCAGATCGAACCCCGGGACTTTACCGGCCCACTGCCGACCTCGCCGACCTCCGAGCCCGACTACTTCCTGTGGGTCTGCATGGGGGGATACTGTTCTACAGAAATAAACCATTCGTTCATTCATTTATCCAGGCCTTGAGGGAGACCCGACAGTGGAGATCCAGCCAGAGGACTTATATTTCCTTACCCGACCCGACGGTACATCAGCACGCAGACCGAGGGTGTACATGGGGGGGTCCTGGTGCCGGTACATCAGCATGCAGACTGAGGGTCTGCATGGGGGGGTTCTGGTGTATAAGTGACACATATTTCCTTCTTGTGTTCCAGGGCTTGAGGGAGACCCGACTGTTGAGATCCAGCCCGAGGACTTCGCCGGCCCGTTGCCGACGGCGCCGACCTCTGAACCCGACTACTTCCTGTGGGCATCCTGGGGCTTCCTCGTCAGCTTCGGGGTCATCGCCATGGCGAGGTCATCGCCCGGGAAACGGCTGCTCGTCAGGCTCGGCATCCTGGTGCCGGTACATCAACACGCAGACTGAGGGTGTACATGGGGGGATGAATATTGCACATTTAGTGCAGGAATACAAGGAAACCGACAACTAGGAAGACAGGGGGATGGGGGTGACCGTTGGTACCAAAATTTGTTGTTGCTGTCCTGAATGTTTTCATTTTTAAATCTGACAAAAATGGAACAAGAGAACCACGGAACCACACTGGTGTGGCTAAATGTTCTGCCAAAGGATCAGACTTGAAACACAAGACATAATTTGAGTAGATTAGACCACCAACCTTGCCCATAATCAACAAAATAAAATGAAATTTACAAAAGCTCAAATCTTTTCAAGGAGGTAGTTTTCCTGTACATGTTCATACGACTGTCTTTACCTCCTACGTACATATTTGTACTTGTCGTTGTGAACCGTTGTGGTGAAGCTAGTATTAAGTGCAATACTATGTGTTATGCATCCTTCTTAATTTTGACTTTATAATGTGCAATTAGTGTATACTCTTGTGTGTTCTTTTAAAGAAATGTACATTGATTTGCAATTCAGAGTCTTGTTGTTCACTGAAAGATTAATAAATAATTCTTGAGTCTTGGCTCACGGCCCTGTCGCTACAAGCCTTCCCAAAAATCACACAAACACACCTCACATCTGCTTAGCCAGATCAGTGCCGTTTATTCCATTGTCAGTATGTAGAGCAACACCATGCACAGTTTTCACTAGTCACTATATATATAAACTACACAGACATGCTTTAGTCATGGCTGGGAAGTTCCTGAGCGAAAAGCCTGCACAACAGTGAAACATAGGTAGAGTGGTCTCCTAGGTTACACAGTGGTTACCTAGGTTACACACAGTGGTTCCCTTGGTATGGGTAGACAAAATGGTTACCTTGGTTACACAGAGCGGTCTCCTAGGTTACAAAGAGCTGTCTCCTTGGTTACACAAAGTGGTTACCAAGGTTACACAGAGTGGTTCCCTGGGTTACAGAGTGGTTACCTAGGTTACACAGAGCAGTCTCCTAGGTTATATTGAGTGGTTCCCTAGGTTACACCGTTAGTGGTCTCAGAGATAGGGTTGCACACCTAGAGCGGTCTCCTTGGTTACACAGCTGAGCGGTCTCCTAGGTAACAGCCCAAGTTGTTGCCTAGGTTACGGATTGCACAGGCAGAGATTATCAGCAAATTTTGGAGGTTTCCTGAATTTCACACTGGTCACTTCAAACTTCTAAAGCAACATATCAAATTTCAAGACCACCATCTCATAAGCCTAACTTTACTTCATACAGATCAAATTTCATTTCTGTTTTTGCATGTAGAGATATATTCGCGGAAAATCCTGAATTTCTTTTTGAAGTTGAAGTAACCAGTGTTGAATTGCAGTCAGTCTGTTGCACAATTATTAAAGAAACATTGTCACTATTTCAGCATTACATCATGATTGTTCACTATTAGCAGTTACCATGGATACAGTCTATTTTACATACAATTCTTCGTTTGGAGATGTTTTTGCTTCCTGCATCACTTAGAATTTTTCTCCAATAATTCTTACCATTGGTTTAGCCTGAATTAGTTTCTGAGCGGCTGGAGTTACGATTAGTCAATTTCAAGTTGAATCCACAGAAACTTTGCCTGTTCTCTTTGTGATCTCAAGTCTAAGTCGATTTTTTATGAATACAGGTTTGTTTTGTGATACATATATTAAGTGTTTCAAATCTATTGAAGGTAAAAACTAAGAACATTTTTTGGGCACCAGGCAAAAGTTCCATGGACTCAACAATTCTGCAACCAAGAAATACCAGATCAGGAGTTACAGTCCTTCTTACACTAATTGTGGACATCAATACAAATCTCACCGTGCCATCTCATGTATCATTACTACATGCTCATACTAGTTTAAAAATTACAAGTTATTCTTGCATTCTACATTGCATAATTGTAGCGGTTTGTGTAGCACTTTAAACAGCAGTTTTTTGTACAAAGGCAGTGGTTTCTTCTTCAATTCTTTTACTGGAATGGGAAAAAGAAAACAAGCAAACCCAACAAAACTTAAAACAACACCAGACACGACACATGACAAACTTTGGATGTCCATCCATTGTACAAAATTAACACAAAATTCCATGTCATGTATAAATGAAACAAACAAAACAAACATTTTGACACCAATTAGAAAAAATAATCATTTGGAATGAAATAATCTCAAAGACAAAAATATCCCATCATGCATTGCACCTGAAAGACAGTGAGGTCAAAGTGCAATTGACCTGTTAGGTGATGTAGTGAGCACCCATCATACTCATAGATTAGTTCCTTAAAGTGATCTTAAATTACCAGTATTTACAAGTTAGGACGTAGTTAATCTTTTTAGAAGTTATCAGAGGAGGCAGAAACACTTTCTGCAGTTCTGCCCTTGTGTGCCCCCCTCCCCAACATGGCCTCCCGTTCCGAACACGGTCCTGGCACCTCTGCTGTATGATATCCCAGCAGTCATTGGTACAGCAGGACGCGTGTGCCCCCCTCCCCAACATGGCCTCCCCTGTTCCGAACATGGTCCTGACACCTCTGCTGTACGACATCCCAGCAGTCATTGGTACAGCAGGACGCGTGTGCCCCCCTCCCCAACATGGCTACTACATCATTAGTGGTCTCAAGGTCAAGGACATACAGGAACGTCCTTAGTGAGTGTACACTGGTGGTTCACCTAGGCAAGGTAATTCTATCACACCCAGGCCAGTCCACAGTAACAAAACACCCTTGACCTTTGCCCTGGTCACTGATTTTTGCTGCTGATGCAGATTTTATGGGGCTGGACTTTCTCCGACCTTTGTGTCTGACCTGGAGGTCGGCCGGATCCCTGCTGCGTGCAGATGTGCACGTCTCCTACATTCCTTGACCTTTCTGTTTGACCTTTGACCAGACATGCACGTGTACCACAGGCCACACCAACTCAACTTGCCGGTTTTCGGATGTAAAGAAAAAATTTGGTGAGCTGGAAGATACTAACATTCTCTGATAGCAAAGCACAGTTTCAAGGCATGAATACAGTCATACTCCAGCTTTCCTCTCTTTTTTTCATCCAGCTGACTTTTTACTTTGTCCGAGAACCAAGTAATTAAATTGGTGCAGCCTCGCCTAACATTAGTCACAATGTCATAAATACAGTTTAGCCAAGTACATCAGAACATGCATATATCAACAGCATATACATGTGTGTTGGACACCTCCCTTATTATATTAGCTGCATATATTCCCTGCAATATTCATTATTACATTACAGTTAAAAAAGGTGCCACAATATTTATGTACACGGCACACCTTTGGATTAATCTGGTTCTGCAACAATTTCCATGTATACAGTAGTTATAGCAGGTGACTCTACTACAATATTTGTGTATACGGTGTTCATAAAAGCCTTTGCCAGTCTCCATGCATACAGTACTACCAGAGGTCATTGTCCTCTTTCCATCTCTCAAGATTTTTGTTACCATGGTAACATATATATCAGGCTTCCAGTCAGCCGCCAATCATAATGACTCTGACCAATCACGTTTCACCAAACAAAATGATTGACAGGATGCCTGAAGTAGTGGGCAGTTTATCTATTATTAGATAGAGAGTGGACCATGGAGTGGACTTTGGTTCTTGACCAGGGCGGTTAGATGACCTGAAATATCGTCATCTGCATTGCAGCTGCACAGAACAGCGAACCTTTGGACCGTGTCACCTTACGTAACGTAAGGCTGGGCACAGTCCAACATCTTACCTGGCCACAACATCTTATTTTTTGGTTTCTAGGATTCAAACACACATCTGCATTCTGCATTTTAATTTTCGCAGAGAGATTTACAATATTGCAGAAGAAAAATCTTACAATCTGCAAATTGAAGGTTGTAGTATGGAGGCTTGTGTATTTGCAGAAAGTGTTTCCAAATTGCAGGACAAAATTTTGACTCGTCTGAATAGAAGGGGGGTGTTGGATGACGGGGAGTTCTTACACATGATTATCTGGTTAATAAGAATATTCTCCTTACAGCCAGAGTAAGAGAAGAGGGACCATAGAACCCTTAATTAGCTTGTTAATTTGCTAATTAATATTGTCATTAGGTGCACATTGTTGCACTTTTGAGCTTGATCACGCCACCATTTTCCACACAGTAATTCAGAGTTAGGACTTCTTTGACACAAATAATTCAATAAATTAATTAATTACCTAATTAATTGACACACAGACAAACGAACGTGAACTACCGTGTGGTTAAATGGCTACCCAGAAGAACGACCAAATTTAACACAAAGTTTTTACACTAGAAGTTAATCCCGCTTGATCCCGTTAGTTTTCCACGCTCCGTGCTCCTGTTTCCCCGCATGGATGCCGTTTTCCTTCCCGGTGAGATGTTTGAGTCCGTTCTGGTGCGGCTGGACGGGCGGTTTCGCAGGCGGTTTGCGCATGTACGCGTCGTAGAAGAAGTGCGCGAAGAGCAGGAAGTAGGAGAAGTACATGATGGAGGACCAGACGATGTTGTCGTAGGTCGAGTCGCAGGCGTCCCCGCTCTCCAGCGCCGCATATGTCGTGTAGTTCACGACGCAGCCCATGACCATCTGCGTGGTCTGCGCGATCGTGATCACCATCGCGTACGAGCGCGGCACGCGGTACCCCGCGGCGCGGATGGCGTAGTACGTGTACATGAGCGCGTGGACCGTGAAGTTCATGCAGTAGAACCAGCGCCCGGCGGCGAGCGTGTCCTTGTAGCTGTACCAGGCGTACAGCAGGACCGTGATGTGGTGGTACCAGTGAAGGAAGATCAGCTTCTGCTTGCGGAGAACGATGAATGCCGTGTCGCCGAGCTCGGGCAGCTTGCTGTAGGTGAAGTAGAACGCCCAGAAGTCCAGGACGGGCTCGTGGTAGAACCGAGAGTCGCACACCGAGAACTGGAACCCGCGAACCTTCAGGATGAACCTGGGAAACACAACAATAGGGAAAAGTGGTTAGAATGTTGAAACAAACAGGAGCTGCGAGTAGAAACAGGAAAACCCCTGACTCCCGGGATGTCGGGAATCGAACCCGCGAACCTTCAGGATGAACCTGGGAAAAACGGCAGGGGAAATGGTTAGAATTTTACAGATAGACCAAATTTCTGATGTCTCCCTGGAACCTGCGAACTTTTACCAGTAATATGAACCTGGAAACATGGCAGGGAAAGAAGGGTTAGAATTTAAGAATGGTGCAGAATAGGAATACTACTGGTACTGATATGCCAAATTTCTGATGATGTCTATCTGAAATCTGCTTACTTTTAATATGAACCTAGAAACATGGCAGGGAAAAACTGGTTAGAACAGTACAGAATACTGCAAATACAGACAGATCAATCCTAACCTTCTTGTTCAATCAGGCTTCAAGATACCACCTGCATGTGTAGGTTAGTGCTGGTCAAACTGGAGCTGTGCAGGCATTTTTTTAATGATGAGAAATACCTGCATAGCCCCAATACTAAATTACCAACTGAACTATAACATAAGTTTGCAATAACAAAATGTGAGGGGTCTAGGCAAAATTGGTATAAATCAAAAATAAATATGGTTTACAAGACTGTATGTAATAGCATATAAAGCAAAGCTAGCCAATTCTGAATAACGTACTATCATAATCACAGGTGGTTGGTTACTACTTGTTTGCTACCCTGATTGTTGCCACCTGTAAAATTTAAATTAAAGACTAAACTAGTTTCTATTATATAAAGCAGAATCACAGTTTTACAGCTGACCTTTGACCAAGTGACCCTAACATCCTGTAGGACATTTTTGAGCCATGCCCATATTAGGTCATATCAGAAACACTTGTTACTTTCTGTCCAATGGAATCATCAGGTTTTCATAAAGATCAGAAGTTGTAGGTTTACTTTATTGAACAATATTAAGAAAATGCGGTATAAATGAGTGAAAACTGTGACATATAAATTGTCAATCATGGTTTTACAAAATTATGATCTACTACGTGTAAATTATGTAAGGGAGTTGTTAGCATTTGATGTTGATTTTTGATGAAAAAAAATCTTATTTCCGCTGTCAAATGTTCCGATGAAGCGAATCCGACCAGACAGTCGGTTGGGGAGAATGAAATCTCCCCTAATGTCATATTGGCCAGAGAAAATCAATAAGACAGCTGCAATTATACCGCAGTTATGCTCTTACAAATCAATATGCTCAGATATTGCGTTATAAAAATGATTGATAACTACAGCATGGAACTATAACTATAACCTGACAAGGTTGTTAGTTTTGTTTAAGGTGATTTTTGATTATTTTGCCGGTGTGGCATGCCGCCCCCCTCCCCACCCTAACCGGTAATATATGCAGCACATGTCGGGTAGTGTCTGGTAGGCCGGGCGCCCTTCCGGTACTTACCACAAGTCGTACGCGCTTCTCAGAGCGCCCAGAGTCGAGAAGACGGCCAGAGCGCTACTCCAGACCGTCAGGGGCAACCTCAGATCAAACTTCTCCCGATTCTGCATGAAATATCTGCCGCCGAACACCAGAACCACGTACAAAATGGCGTAGGAGAAGGCAGCGGTCCAGTTTTCGCCCATCCACTGTAGAGCCGCCTTTTCGTTAAAATCTTTCTCAAACGGTAGCTGGTACTCGAAAGGGTAGGCGATTATATCTGAGCCGTTGTCAGCCATGTTGGGGCGTCTGTCGGCGCGTATCTAAGGGTATATAACCGCGTATATGAACGGAAGGAAGCGATGACCGTATGTACAGTATACTGCACACGCCCAGGTTACCACGAGCCGGTAGTAACAAATTTCACGTCAGACTAGTCCACTCAAATTTACGGGGATTCACTCATAAAAACTCCATCTATAAACATGATAGATAGCAAAGATAGTTCATAACATTACTTTATATTTAATATCTAATTAAGATAAATACATTTTGTTACTATATTAGGTGATTCATTTGATTATTTGCAAAATATACAAATTCAAAATCAGAATAAGGGAATCAAATACCCCCGTATCTGATGTCAGAATGTGAGAGTCCCCTCCCGCCTGATCAGACGTCATTCAAATGAACGACACTGATTGGCTGACACAGTGGCAATTAGACGGCCCAGCAACCAATGACAGAGTAGCTGGAAGTCGGCCAGGGTTTGGCGCCAAAAATCTACTCTTCAAGCAGAGGTTGTGGGGGAATGATCGTTAGCTTCTTTATATATGGCCGTTTTTTTTTGTCACTACCCCCACCACCCGTCGGTGGCCGGGGACCTTCTCTGTCTACTGTCTTGCCACCGAAAGGGATCTGCTTGGATATTACCAAAAACCCTGAATGACATGGCTGTATTCCCCACAGTAGACAGTTTGTTGATTTCCACGGCCATGGAATTAGTGTAAAACCCCACGACTGTAAAGGGATTTTTTCTGAGTGTTTATTCAGGCCCAACACTTACATATGAGGAGGCCTTTCTCTAAAAGTCAAACTTCTCTTCGAGGACCATCCAGTTCACAAAAGAAAAAAAAAAAAACTGTCAACCTAGGAGCAATCAGCTTATAGTATTGCGTATGACTTCATAAGGGTCTCGTTTGATATGAAAGTTAAACGTTTACATTTTACAGCATCTGAAATTGAATGTTTTGTCGCAGATTGTGGATAGAGGTTTGGAGCATAAGTTTAGGATCGTTTAGGATGACTTGCCAACGGTTTGTAAGTGCGCAGCATGTCTTTATCATTACATCCGCTAGGGGCGCTGCTGCACGGTCTGCACGATACGAGCAAACAGGTGCGCCGAAACCGCAACCAACCGACGCAAAAATGAAACACTACAATATATTTTTGAGGACTCTTTATGAGATACAAATTTAAAACAGAGTTGAGTATAATATATTATTTATCGTTTATGGCATATTTGTCATGATATTTTTGCGATATGAAGTTTAAGTAGTAATTTTGCAGGCAGGTTTTATTGGCGTTCTGCTGCGGTGGACCTGACACGTCATATGACCACCCATCATGGCGGTAAGGTGAAGATATCAACAGGTTCTTCCGCCGTCGTTTCCGCACTTTTACCTGTCGTAAGACTTCCTCACGACACCGCCCGACGGCGTCCGGATTGTAGGGGGGACGGGGAAGGGTTGTGCGACGGTCGGCAGCCATGGGGAGCTGTCTGGGCAAGCTATTCGACAAGAAAATTCAAGTCAGGTGAGCCGACCTAACGTTACCTACCTGAGTTTATTTATTTTGTAACATAAATGTTTGAACGTGATTACATTATGCGAAACTGAAATGTCCAGAGGAAACGGTACAAGGAAAAACGCCATTCGTTTGTCTGCAAGATTCAGTGGGCAAATTTTCTTGTACGTTGTTCCTGGTTTGTTGTTGGCTAACCTGCTGTAACTTTACCTGCACACCTGTAACGTAAGTTACCTGGGTCATACCTGTAACATAAGCACAACTGTGTCTGGGGACTATTGGGGAACTCACCTTAGACAAAAAACTGTTCAACATAATCATAGTTATTAAAAAAAACGGCTTTTGTCAGGTAAAAATGTTTTGTTTTCGAGTTTGTGCAATGATTGTTACTATACACACATGTTTTTATAACTTACAATGTACGGATGTAGATATATATATATAACGTTATATATATATATATATATATAACCAGCAAGGACATTAAAAATCAAATCGATCAATAAACTGTCCTTGATAGTATACTAGTAAACATCAGGTTTGCAATTGATGTGGCCCAGGTGCTGTCGTATCTAGGTTATCAAGTAAAGAGCCCCAAATTCCCTTCTACTAGTATATTTGGATCGTAACATTTAGTAATGACAATATAATTTTCATTCGTTGATATTCTGTTGCTTTTCTTTTTTCAGA